GTCGTCAATGTGAGACAAGAATAAAATATGAGTTATCTTGAGCCTTATCTAAATAGACTTGTAAAATTGTTGCCAGTAGTGTTTGAATCTTCAAAGACTGTGTGGACTGTGCTCCACATTGGCTGTGTTATGTCTCTCTTCTCTGGTGACTGATTCAACTCAATGCTACTATCACTGGTAGTGTGTGCGTCATATTCTTGCCCTACTCTGAGACTAAGCCTTACAGCTTTATTTTTCAATATTGCTGTCATCAACTAGTTTCAATTTTTTTCACTGATGTTAAGATTACTTGAGAAGTGGAGTCTTGGTGTGCTCAGATCTCTACCAGTTCGGGATAAGATATCAAAGGCACTGATCATTCTCCAAACTTTTCTCATAGTTCTTTTAATACATCCTTGTCTTACAGAGCACAGATATGGTCCTATTCAGTCCTTCTTTGCCATAATGTGGACAGAGTCTTACATTTCTGGTACTCCCTTATCCTGAAGAAGAAAGGAAGGTGGAGATAAATCTTTAGAACCCAGAGCTCTTAGTGAGTCTATCTGCCATTTAAAATATTGGATAATCATGTTTTCTTTTGTAGTTTTTTCCTTAGATCTAATGCAACTTTTCTTTGTTACTCTGAATTTGTAAGATATTGTCCTCTTTGTGAAAATTCACTGAATTTACTGGAGGTATTTTGTATCACATGTTTCAAGTTCTGTAAACCTTTGCTCTGGTAGACTTTTCAGAATTCACCATTGTAGCTTGCTTTCTGCTCAACTGTCAGAATTGAGAGGGATTTGTATTTACTTCCAGCCTAGTGATGGGGTTCCGCCCCTACAGAGGTCTTCTGTGAGGAATCTCCACATGTCTTATCCATGAATTGCAGTAAAATCCTGCCAATGTTAATTGTGGTACATGACCTGACATACGGTTTTACATGAAGTTACACCATCATGGTTGTAGCTCTCCAACACTGGTTTACCAGCATACCAACCGTGCAGGCAGAGGGTGCGTGTGAAGAAACACTTCCTCCTGCAGACTTCTGGCTCCTTTGATTGATATTTCCTTCCCATGTCTAGTGACAGATGAATCCAAGTTAAACTAGGATGTATGCTTGGGCTTCCTGCATAAGCAGAGCCTATGAGCTCTGCATAAAAGTCTGAGCGCGTGTAAAAGTGTTACGACTAAGAACTGCAATAAGAATGTGAAAGTTTTAAAACTCTTTTGAAGGGAATAATTTATTGAACCTTAAGACATAATGCAGTGTCTACATAGGCTGGCAGAATGGGATCCTTGAGTACAAAACCAGTACGCTGGTGAGACTGATGAACTCTATATGACATCGACTCACTAGTCTTCCACCTTTCTGGTTCTCAGAACAATTCTGCAGAAAATCAAAGTAGAAAGCTCCATCAGTCATGAAGGGCAATTAAAGACTATTTTAGATCTCGTAATCCTAAAATAGAGTGTTCCTCAGTAGATTTGTTTCCAGTAAAAACACAAAGTGCCTAGCATGCCATTCCCACTGGGAAGGAAGACCGGGACTTCTGACTGGAAAAGGTGATGTGATAACAAACTTCATTAAACCTTTTTCCCCCTTCCATCAAATCCAGTCAGTTCTGGCAAGGCCAGTGGAAGACCATCACTTCCCCTGCTTGCTCTATGAGTCTGTTATCTCATCTGATTCCAAGTTGGGAGTTCAGAAAAGTCTGAGGGTCAAACTGAAAGTGTCTTAAGGATGCCCTGATTCTGGTGCCACTTTCTTCCTGTTGTTTCATCATTGCCTTTTCTATTTCTCTTTGCTCCTATTATTGGTATATTGTATTCCTTTCATGCTTACCTTCCTCAGTAATGGATCTATTCTATTTTCTTTTACAAGAGATAGTTCTGTACTGGTTCTTTATTTACATCTGATTTCCTATAATCTTAGCTTTTACTTATTTAAATTTATACTCTACATCTGTAATGCATAACAGTTTTAAATGTATTTAGACTTCAGAATCTTTTGAATGTGTGCTGGTAGACTTTCAGATTTTATAGCACACGTCCAAGTGGAATATAGCTGTTGGACTCATCCCATCACTGTGGTTTTGCAGTGCCCACTAAGAGAGTACAACATGCAGACTCTGACTTGCCTGTCTGGAGCTGTCTTCAGTTAGAGATTGCATTGCTTTAATTATATAGATTTATAAACCCACTAGTATAGATGTAGCTCTATTAATTTAAAGTACTTTATATTATTTTATTTATTTCTGTAAAGTAGGGAGATTTATATCAATATGAATGTGCATTTATCTGGGCTTTTGCCGGCTATAACTAGACTGACAATAAAATATTATTTGTGGAATATGTTTACTTATTACATCTAAGTGCTTTACAGGTAACATATTTCATTGTATGATCTATTTTTTTTCCACAGCTTAGCTGGTTTAATTTTTCTTTTCTTGGCTTGGTGAGTGGAAATAATGGTGGAGTTGTGTGCATTATTTCTTTCTACAAGCATGATCTACACCTTGTGTTATCTGCTTCATGTTTTTCTGTAAGGCTTCCGTTAAATCAAAGGCGGCTGTTCAAGGAGGAGGAAAGAGGAAGCAAAATAATAATGGAGACAAGTAGGTCATGAGAAGAACTATTAGCTAGAAAATGCTGCAGATAAGATCCTACCACGTAAGTATGGTTTACCATCCCCAGTGCTGAAAGCTTAGGATCAGAGAACCTGATCTTTAAAGATGATGGTACGTGAAGCGAGAAGCACTGAACAGATTTTTGCATATTTTGTTGTAGACATGCATTTGTGAAACAGAGAGATACAGAACTGCAGCAAGCGGGCTGGTGGTCCCAGCCAAGAAAAGGAATGAACCTGCATAATTAACAGCAGATGTAAACTTAGGAAAGGAGATATGGGTACAGAGCTCTGTCTCCTTTGCTCATCTTCCTATATACTTTAGATATATACACTATATTCCTTTCAGCAATTATTATTTTTGGCTCTGTTTTTCTATTTTTGTCTTGAAGAAGCTATTTCTTGAGCTGCAGCTGTCTGTCAGTTACAGGTCACTGGAAATAAAAGTCATGCGAGTTCCAAACCCATTTGTGACTGTCAGGTTAAAATGGCTGTTAAACAGGCTAATACAATACAAGACTCAGTGACAAGGCTGAAGGGTGAAACTGATCCCAGAGAACGATGATGCTTCTAAAGGGGAGGAAAAAAACAGTTACAACTATCTGGCCAGAATAACACTTGGCTGTGTATTGAGGCCACATCAACAAAAAAGATTTAAAATAAGTTATTTTAGAAAAAATATTAACATTTTTTGTCATAAGATACAGGCCTTTTCCTAACAAAATTGAAAAAAACCCCTCTATTTCTGTTACACACTTTATATTTAGGCTATTCACAGAGTGGATAGTCTAACTTTATTCTGTAGTACTAGTTTGTTCAAATGATGCACAAATTTTAATAGGTTAGTTTTCCGCTTAATACAGTTTATTGTTTGAAAGGAACCCTATCTGAAGGCACTATTTTTCCATTGTTCTGTAGTCTTAACCATATGTTTCCAAAAATGTGATTCTAGAGCTTACTAAAAGCACAACTTTTCCCCCATCTTTAATCACATTATGGCTGCTAATGTACATCTTGCTTACAGCTTTTCATTAAAAGCAACTAACTATGATAGCGCTACAGTAAAGGAAAGAATGAAAACGCTAATCAGACAAGATGATTTCAAGTTAAAGTTCTAGCTGCACCATGAATTCACCTATATTTCACACAACAAGTATTGTGGGAGTATTTCTAGTTATCAGTTGCCTGCCTGCTTGCCCCCCTGGCTTCTTCGTCGGAGGGATCGCGTATGCCATTGCTACCTTGTGCAGGCTCCCAGTGCCGGGGGTTTGCACTCCATGGTACGACTGAGGACTAACTGAATTGTACAGTTCTACAGAGTGGGCAAGTTAAGAGTGACGTGAAGCATGCTAAAACTCCTGAGTTATACACAGAAAGTCTCTGATTGTATATTTAGACTGTGACAACACTTTTTCAGTATGAATTTAAACTTGATGAAATTGTTACAATTGTGAAACAGAATCTGTGTAACAGCCATGACATTTGTAAAATATGCTATTACTACTGTGCAGAACACAATTTTCATTGTCCATCTTTATAACTGAATATTGGTTCAACAAGGCTGCACTAATTAGATATATAATTCTTTTACGTTGACTCTTGGTAGTCTCTTTCACCAATGTTCTTTCCTTCTTTTTGTGTACTCACCATTCTGCAAAGTATCAGCAACCCTCGATGAGTTAATACCTCCTCTTTAGCACAACTGGACAGATTAAAACCATATATTTCTGGTTAAGTTATTTTTCCTACCAAAAATGTACTTTTGTTATTGTAGAATTTCGTAAGTGAATGCTTTTAGATTTAGTATTTGGATGCAGTGTTATTGTGATTTCTATCAATACAAGACCTCAAATGCACTAAGAGCTATGCAGACAAATAGTGAAAACCGATCCCTACAAAGAAGATTGAATAAACTCAATAAACAAACTTAGCAAACACTATAAAGGCAACTTGATTAAAGTTGTAAAATAACACAGACCAGGTCTTAGGTTTCATAGTTATCCAATAAGTGTCGTATAGCTATCACTTTGCTTTTGTGATTAAAGACATAACTATCAATTATGCTGACATTATTACCAAAGAAATATCAACCTTTTTGTCAGAGATTTTTAAATTGCTTAGATATGAGTGAAAGAATAAAGAGAAAAATGTATAACACAGTAAAAGCTATTATCAACAAGTAATACATTTGTTCCACAAAGAAACTATGCAGACCTACTATATGTTTCAACCAACATTTTGAAGTCATACAGAACAAGTTTATATTATAAGAGGTATTTGGCATTGGTTCTTTAAAACCCAATCAGAGATGAAAAAAATGTTTTTTATTTGACCTCATCACCAAACATATCTGTAAATGTTGAAAAAAATTGTTACAGTGCATTTTACTTACCCTCATCCTTCCATTTCTTATTGCTGGTCCATCTTCTGCTAACCTCAACACATACAAATCCATTTTGTACTCCCTTCCTCCTCGAATGCTAAACCCAAAACCTTTGGCTCCTTTCTCCAAATCAACGGTGAAATAATCAAAGTCCTGTATAGATAAATACAAAATGAAAGACAATTAACCATACACATGTCATGATATACATTCAAGAAAACTTTGAAATGCATGTCTTCAAAAGTGCATCTATCCAATTGATAAGCAAAGGGACTGTCAAAGTGTACTTCTGCACTGACAGGCTTTGGTCATTTGTGAAAAGAGACTTCAGCAAAATGTAAATGCCTAAGTCTAAACCACCCTGAATGGGCATCTTCCAGCAGTTGCCTGGTACCAAAAGCTCCATAGGTGGTTTCCATATTCAGCCTCAATACTTTCATGGCACCTGAGTATAAGTGTTTATGTCTATGCAGAAGTGCTGATTTGGCAAGTGAGGTAGCAGGCAGTTCCTGTATAAGCATCATCACAACCAAAAATTAACAGGAGAAACACCTCCTAAATTCCCAGGAGATCTTAACATGACCAGCAGGCTGGACTACACGGAGTCACAGAGTATAGGAACTCTCATCATTTTGGTTAAAACATGTGCCTCGAGGAGGAGGTGGGAAGTAGGAGATCTGAGTTTCACCCTTTCTGTGATGACTCTTTGATGACTTTATTATGTTCCTAGGAACAAAAAAAATCCTCTGCTGCTGCAAAGGCAGCTTATTTTAGAACTTTCCTTTTAACTCTTCAGTGCCTTAAAAATAGCATTTATTTAACATTATAGTGACACAATTATAAATATAGTGTTATTTGACAGATCACATAGATCTTCACTAATATTCATGGTTTTGAAGTAATTTCCTCTACAGAGAGATAGTAACTCAGAGTAAACACAATAAAGGCACCTTTTTCTCCTCTAATGTCATCTTTTTTACCAATATACCTGATCTCTCCCTACAGACCCTAATGCTTTCTGTTCAGGAGTGCTCAAAGTATTTCAGTTTGTACCTGAGGCTGCCTGTACTCTGACAGAGGGTACTGCCTGGTGTCGGGTGAATGCTGCCTGTAATCTATCAAGGGTGGTTGCCTGTAGTCAAGAGGTGGTGGCTGCTGGTAATCCATCACCGGAGGATGCCTGTAGTCCAGCGGAGGCTGTCGGTAGTCCGTTGAGGACTGCCTGTAGTCTGTAAATGGAGGTTGCCGGATATCAGGTTTCACGTCCTGTCTGGCTTTTACTTCTGATCTATAACTGAGAAATGACTTCGTTTCAGAAAGTGGCAAAACATTAAGTATATGCATTACATGTAATATTGAGGAGTGAAAGCAAACTGCCTGATTGCAAAATTGCATAAAACAAATTTTCATGGAGAAGCAAAACTTTTGAGGGTAAACAGTGAGGCATCCAGAAACAGTGAGCGCTTTTGAAACATGGACATAAGCAATTTTCCCTCAGGTCATCCTCTGCAATTTTTCAGCTCATATCAGTGAGATCAGGAATAGGTTCAAAGGGACAGGAACAGGAAAAGCATCTTGATTCCTATTTATATTGCTTACTTGGAAGATGAAACTGCATGTGAAAACACCCACAATACTCCCAATAAAATAATGCACTGAGTTTACGAAGTGCTTTTTCCCAGAATTAAGATTTCTATAGAAACATCAGTGCAGACACTTACAGCCCCCCTGTTTCATTGATGTGAGTTATTATTATTGTGATTGTCTTAAGGTTAAAAAAGGATATATTCTTTGTACTAGCTGTTTTTTTTAATGAAAGATATTCTTTGATACAACATCTGTTAATATAGTATGCATTATTATTATTATTACACTCTCCCTACAATACTATCTGGCTACAAGTCCGTAGCAGGTCATATCAGTACTTACACACAGAAGTAACACAGGGTGAAAGAAAAACAAATTTGGTTAATGAGGAATTACTAACAAGTAAAATATTGCTTTAATTGGTAACTGGTTACAGGAAGATGAGTCCTAACATTTCAAAGAAAATGTGACTTTCTGTAGTACAGAGAGTAGCTAATTAATTTACTCAGATGCGAATGAGTGGCTTCCTTACCAGATGGAAATCAGTGCCTAATGGCATTTCACAATTCAGGGTAAAGTAAGGAATATTTCTTACTGCAAACCTCCGTACCTCAGCCATGTAACATGCTGAATGGGCACAAAGGAAGTCCCAAATGTTTTCAGCAAGGTTATTCTGTAATAGTGATTTCAGTTAGATTTAACAAAAATTTTCACATGGGACATGTTTTTACACTCCCCTGTAGCTGCCAAAGGAAATGTTTTTTTTTTTTCCTGTACAGGAAATGTGCATTTCAAACTCTGCTTTAGTAATTGTCTGGAAGTTTTCAGTCGACCAAGTGACCATGTATGTACATGTACACATGCAGATACATGGACACATGTAGACTGTGAGAAGGATTTTGAAATGTACTTACTGATTAAAAAGAATTACATTCTGAAAAAATGAGAGCATAGTTTTTGATCACATTAATTTATGTATGAAAATATAATCTAAACATTTCAAAATCTTTCAGAAATATTTCAAAACTTCATTACTTTATTAGTATGGTTACATTAACATTATGGAAAATCTTCCTACGCACAAGGTTTAATAAGCTGAACGTCTAACCAGACACAGAAATATCAGAACTACTACCCTTTGACCTTCCTGAGAAGACAAAAATAGCCTGCTGCCACCTGTTCTTTTAAAATCTGTATATAGCATATATAATAAGACCTGCATGTATACATGGAATTCTCGTACTGTTTTACTCAGTATCATGATCCTGTAAAAAGAAGATAGAGATCAAATAGGCTTACTGTGATCCTAAGCCTTATTAATATTGCAAGCAAAACCACTAGTTAGTATTCTTAAGAGTTTTAAATATCTTACAGCATTTTGATTTTGATACAGAAACAATGTACTTGGCTATATAAACAAGCTATAATCTGACACTAAATCTGGTGAAAAATGATACTATATGGACATTTCCGGAATAAGAGTCATCCTTAGGCAGGTTTCCAATACAACCACAGCTGTATCCCAGAAGATGATGCTTTTATTTTCAGTTGGAGGCACTGTAATTTTTGCTGAATATGTAAATGGTGACATGACCAATCATAGCTTACACTTTTCAGTAAAACTATTACAGAATTTATTTTTGTAACTTGAATTAATATAGTTTACTAGACCCCTCTGAAAATTCCCTATTCAATAGAGATTTAATACTGACTTACAACTGTGCAGAGAGACTTTTGTGAAAGCTTTGCATTGGATTTTGTCAGAAACATATGTCTTCTAGGAGGTGATCACTTTTGGAAAAAGTACTCAATGAAGTATAAGGTAAAGAAATTTGCCAAGTGAATAATTGAGAGAAAATAATTTTGGGCAAGTGAAAGTGCTGCATCTGTCAAGCAAGGAGAATTAGAGGGTACAGCGTCTAAATCGCAGCTGAACTCAAGTATCTCCAGAAGCAAAAAGTTACAGTCCTGTAACCAGCATCTGCTATTTGGGGAAGAGGGTCTTGATGAGGTATGTTGGTTACTGAAGATTAGCATAAAGACAGTGAGTGTAATCAGCCTCATTTTACATGCCAAAAATTAATCCAAAGATTAAATAGTGTTGATTGGAGATCACAGAAAGTTGTATCATCCCACAGTCTGGGCATGTTTTTTATATATACAGCTTTTAATACAGCTGGCCACAAAATTTCTATCCCCTTACCATTTAATTTCCATCACAGATAAATTTGTCAATGCATATGCATAAATTACACCGGAGAAATTGGCTGGAAAATGATACACCACAGATAAAACCTGTTATAAAAATATCTTCCTGACTGCAGAACTTTAATAGAAAAAAAAAAAGATACATAAGATAATGAAAAAAAAGGCAACCTCAGGTTCAGATACCGATATATCCATATTTTGTAAGTTGTGGTGATATAAGAAAGTAGTAGGTTAGCAATGAAATTATTAGCAAGGAATACTTCAGTGTTTAGTTGCTTGGCAAACATACAATCCCGATGGATGTTTGAGGAAGGCTGGTTAGACCCTTGTTTATAATAGCATGTTTTGTACCTGAACAGGAATTACAGATCATCCCGGCGTGCACAATTCATGCTCTGTAAGCACAACCACAGGACCATGGCTTGTCAGAGCCCTACAAGTGATGGCTCACAGCCACTAGAAAGAGCGTGAAGCCCAGCACAAGGGTGTCCTGTGGCCCTTATAGGAGGCAGAGGCTAGAGGAACTGCTCTTACCTGTTTTCGTGTCCCTGCAGCTGGAGGGGCTGCGGAGGCGGCGGCTGGGCGACGGGGCTGTGCTGGGCAACAGGGCTCTGCTGGGCCAGGGGACTCTGCTGGGCCATGGGGCTGTGCTGCTGGGCCATGGGGCTCTGCTTCTCCGAGCTGGGGGCCGAGGCCGGGCTGTTCAGCTCTGCGTAATAGGAAGCTGGAGATTAAAGACCTGTCACAGTGCAGCATTTAATAAAGGGCAAAGGTAGACAATAATAATTTTTGGTCACACACTACCTCTGAAAATTTATGCTTTGTCACTTTTACACTCTTGGGTTATAATTAGATTTTAAGACGTCTGAACCTAATGGGCTCCTTTTGATAGTCTGTGGGATCTGAAATCTTGTTCGCTTCTATAACTCCAGTTGACACCTCCATTATTTAAAACCCAATTGAACACGGCAAATTGCTTCTGTGTTTCATGTTTTCTTTTAAAGCCTAGAAATACCAATCATAGAATCATAGAATAGTTTGGGTTGGAAGGGACCTTTAAAGGTCATCTAGTCCAAACTCCTCTGCAATGAGCAGGGACATCTTCAACTCGATCAGGTTGCTCGGAGTCCCGTCCATCCTGGCCTTGAATGTTTCCAGGGATGGGG